AATAGATTCCCTCGTTATTGGGCTTACTACCAAATTCCCTCCAGACTGCATATACTCCCCTGATAGAAAACTTGGCAGAGAGAATTTATACGACCTATCCATCGAAGAAGCCGATAGGGCTTGAAGGACAATCGGGGTTTGCGCCCTCAAATCGGCCTGCGCCGAAATTTGGTGACCTTTTCTTCCACGAGTATCAGCCTCTGTCCGTCATTGTTCCCTGGATGCGGCTGCTAGCGTCCATGTTTCCATCCCATGTGCGCATGATTAGCATTGGAGTATCTTACGAGGGTCGCGAAATTCCCGCCCTCCGACTGAGCGCAGGCAGCTCTACCGCGGCGTCAGGCCCTCGTAAAACCATCATCGTCACGGGTGGTAGCCATGCTCGCGAATGGATCGGCACCTCAACCGTAAATCATGTAATGTACACTCTCATTACGAAGTACGGGAAATCCAAGGCCGTCACCCGCCTTCTACAGGACTTTGATTGGGTCATGATCCCCACGATCAATCCCGACGGCTATGTCTATACCTGGGAGACAGACCGACTATGGCGCAAGAATCGACAGCGGACCAGCCTACGCTTCTGTCCCGGGATCGACCTTGACCGCGCCTGGGGCTTCGAATGGGATGGCGGTCGGACCCGCGCGAACCCTTGTTCCGAAAATTATGCTGGAGACGAGCCTTTCGAGGGCATGGAAGCACAGCAATTGGCACAGTGGGCGCTCAATGAGACGCAAAACAACAATGCTGACATCGTGAGCTTCCTTGACCTTCACTCTTACTCTCAAACAATTCTCTATCCCTTCTCCTACTCCTGCTCGTCGATACCCCCAACGCTTGAGACCCTGGAAGAACTAGGCCTAGGCCTAGCCAAGGCTATTCGTTACGCGACTCACGAAGTCTACGATGTCACATCCGCCTGCGAAGGCATCGTCACTGCCAGTGCGGCAGATAGCAACCCCGGGCGATTCTTCCCCATTGGCGGCAACTCTGGTGGCAGTGCCTTAGACTGGTTCTACCACCAAGTGCACGCGACCTTTTCGTACCAGATCAAGCTTCGCGATCGCGGGAGCTACGGGTTCCTCCTCCCTTCCGAACACATCATTCCCACCGGCAAGGAGATCTACAATGTCGTTCTGAAGCTAGGATCCTTCCTCATCGGGGGTGACTCATTCGACATCGATTGGGAATCAGAACTCTTCGATCTGTCAAAGGAGGAGTCAGATCTGGACACCCGCTATCCAAATTCTAATGACCGCTCCCCGGCATATCTACACAACGCCAATGACCCAGTACCTCACACCGGCGAGGACGAAGACGAGGACGAAGACGAGGACGAAGACGAGGACGAAGACGAGGAATGGGTAATGCTGGAGGAAGAGGACTTTGAAGACGATGATGATGACGAAGAAGAGAAGGAAGATGCATATTGGGCCACCGAACACACATTCGAATTCCGGCGACGACGCTGACGATGAACAAACTAATTAAACCTATTTATATGACTCCCTCACCCATATACTCTCCTTTTGATGATGATCAATAACGACTAATGACGGCTTTGCGGGACTGATGGACGTGTTTATCATGTTCTGTTTATCAATTCTCCCTTACATCTTAGATAGTGTCCTTTCCACGTGCCTATAGCCTATACCGCTTAGGTGTATTCTCTACATAATTAAATACAGAGTAATTCAATGAATTGTCCTACCAAGTAATTGATCCGAGTAACCATTCGGTGTTTCATTCCCTCTGTACTGTATTGAATCGGTAAGGAACTGGAATTTAACTCTCATATAATCCAACTTCACCTCACTATTTACCCAGGTGCCGTGTATCATGATTATCGTCATACATTCATTCATTAGGTATCATTCCGATGCATGTAAATAAACCCCCGCCCGGCAATTTTCTAGATAAACTAGCCAAGCACACGAACAGCATCCCTCATCTAGTAAGAATGATGAACCATTCGCATCCCTGACGCCCAGTAGCAGAAACAAGGGAAGAGTAGAAGAAAGAAAAAGGGAAAATAAAAGAAATGCATGAGAAAATATAACTAGAACAACCACGCCACAAACTTCCGATAAAACCACCCAGCCTTGCCCTCCGTCTCCTCCTTAATAGCCTCCCGGCGATAATACTCCTCTTCCATCCGATCTACGACATCCTTGCCCGTGAACAGATCTGCCTCGTACGGGCTAACTCCTTTACATCTCGTGACGAGCTTATACCCGAAGATGAGAATCAAGTACAAGGGGATTCCCAAATACGCCGTAATAAAGGTCTTGTAATCAAAGTTACCCCATTTCTTGTTGTGGGTGAAACAGTCGTAGCTCTTGGTGAGACAGATGATGATACAGAAGACCAGGGCGACGTAGGAGCCCGCGGTGCCAAGGGGAGCGCGGTACGCCAGGTCCGATTCGGGGATGTTTTGGGCCTTGCGCGCGCGCACAAAGTAGATGTGTGTTACGAGGAGGGAGATCCAAGTGAGGAGACCGAAGATGGTGACCAGGTCGACGAAGTAGCGGAAGACGGTTTTAGAGTCGCTGGAGACGTTCATGTAGGCGATACAGGCGATGCAGGCGCAGAGGATGAGGGCGTAGACGGGGACGCCGCGACGGTCGGTTTTGGAGAGGAATTTGGGAGCTTTGCCTTCTTTAGCGAGGCCGTAGATGGTTCGGGTTGCAATGTAGAGATCTGAGTTGGCGGCGGAGAAGACGAAGAGGAGGATGCAGGCGTTGAGGATGTGAGGGAGGACGGGGATTCCTGCTAGCTGGATGGCCACGACGAAGGGAGAGGCCGCGGCGGAGCTCGATTGGTTCGTGGCGAAGATGAGTTCCTTGGAGTTGTAGGGGACCAGGGTGCCGACAAGTAGTACGGAAACGATGTAGAATACAACAATGCGGAAGAAGGTGAGTTTGATGGCCTTGGGGATGCTCTTGCGGGGATTTTCAGCTTCGCCCACGGTCACACCCACGAGCTCGGTGCCGAGGTAGGCAAAGGTGGCGGAGACCATGGTGGCCCAGAAAGCGTAGAAGCGGCCGGCTGGGCCATCGTCGATGTAGGTGTTGAAGGCGCCGGGATCTTTCCAGTAGCGGAAGCCTTTGCGGTCATGATCGGGTCCACCACCGAGCATGAGGATGAAAGAGAGGAGGATGATACCCAGAATGACGATAACCTTGAACGAGGAGAGCCAGAACTCGAACTCGCCGAAAAAGCGGACTCCAAAGTAGTTTATGGTGACAATCAGAACAAGGAATATGGTTATCCAAACACCTGCGTTGACTCGGCTCGTGTCTATCCAGTAGGATATTACGAGTGCGCCGGCAGTGAGTTGGTTGGGTGTGACAATGATGTATTTGAACCAGTAGCTGTGCAAGAAGCCCGAGTCAGCGGTGGTACTAGAGACAATAGGCTAAAGCGAGGGTAAAGGGAGGTTCGTACGTCCAACCAAGCGCGAATCCAAGAGCAGGGTCACAGAATCGCACAGCGTAACCTGTAAAGCCGGATGACAATGGGAGCCAGGCAGCCATTTCTCCCAGACCGCACATGACAAGATATACAACAAAGCCAACAACCGAGTAGGATATGAGGATGGATGCGGGCTGTGCGAGTCAGACTAGAAGTTCCCAATTAGGTTGTTATTGGAGTACTTACACCAGCCCTAGACAACTGATTAGCGTGGAACAAAACTGCAAGTGACGGTCCGACTTACTTTGCGAGAGCAGATCCAGTTCCTATGATGAGACCCGTGCCAATTGCACCCCCAATGGCTATCATGGAGATGTGGCGGGCCTTCAGGGCACGATGCAGATCATGGTCGCCAGGAGCAGCCTCGATGGTATCCTCGCCGCTGCCATAATCCGTCACGTATTGTCGTTTTTCGGCGGGCATGTCGGCGGAGCCATGTTCTCTGATGCCCATTTCTTGAAGTGAGACGCACTCACTGCACTGCAATGAAAGGAGCGAGAGAGCTAGCGAGATCAAATGTGATGATCGGGGAAAGTCTGCACAGCGCAACGGGATGGGGGGTTTGAGGAGGAGCAGCAGCTGAGGGGAAGGAATGAGGAGAAGAAAAAGGAAAAAAGTAAGAGGGTAAGTGAAAGGAAGGCAAAGCAAACAAACTCGGCTTGAGTATTTTTACAGTAAAAGTTACTACTGCTACAATTAATCCCTACTAGATACTAGATCCTCGATAACTCTACCCCATACTCCATTTAGGTTACTAAGTACTTAGTCTCAGCCACCGTACCGTTACGAGGACAAATCCAGGTCACCTGGTTCAGGGTAGCATCGGTCAGATCCTCTCCATCGGGTCCTTTTCTCGACCAGAGTCCAAAGATGGAAGTAATCAGTCGCGATCTGATGCCGCCATGACGATACACAAAGTCCACCATTGGCCGGGTTGAGAGCGGACGGGCTTGGCGAAGCATAACAGAAACCAGTTCTTATCTTGCCAGAGATACGCAGTAACCACCCAGCGCTCATTGTCTAGTGGTAGACTCAGCAGCCACCCATGGGACAGGTGCCATTTTCCCCTTAAGATGCATCGGGATTGACCGAAATGCCATCCCCGCGGGGCACCCACATGGCTTGGCGGCCTTGGCGGCACCCCCGACGGCGAATATCTGTTACCTAACTGCCCGGCTTGCCAAGAGCCATATCAGGCGGGGTTGGCGATAAGTTGATATCCTCTCCGTCCTCTGCGATGTTTTATTACTACTTGTGCTTACTACTTACTTATCAGCTCGTGATTTTCGAGGGTCAAGACTTATCGTCTCCCGTCTTTGTCCTTGACTAGTTAGCTGTGTGTAATTCAACTGAGTAGGATTGGTTTACTTGACGGTTAAAGCCGGCTTCCTTCGCCAGCCACCCGGTCTACACTTTAGTCTCGAACATTTCAAGGTAGCGCCATTGGAAAAGTTAATCTTTGTGGCTTGAATGCCGAGATGCTCAGCTCAATTTCCCATCAACTCCATCCCGAGGCTCCATGCTTCTCATCCAATCGTCTCCATCAAGTACTCCCGGTCCTCACTACTCTGAACGAGATCATAGAACAACCCCTCCTTCCTTAATAGCTCAGCCGGTGACCCCATTTCGGCAATCTTCCCTTCACTCATAGCAATCACCTTGTCAAACGAACTGATTGTCCTCAGTCGATGCGCAACCACGACCAATGTCCCGCTAAACTGGCTCCTAATAGTATCCTGAATCCACCGATCCGTCTCATCATCTACCGCTGAAGTAGCCTCATCGAGGATGATGATCTTGGGATTACTGATCAATATACGTGCCAAACAGAGGAGTTGTCGTTGACCTTGGGACATGTTGGCTCCTCCAGCACTTATGCGCGAGTCAAGTGTGAAGAGTCCAGAGTCTTCATCTTCCGGGTCATCCTTGAGCAGTTTGACGCGCTGTAAGGCATCATTGAGTCTGTCTTCTGAAATCTGATGGCTGTAATCTAGATTAGATCGCACTGTTCCGGAGAAAAGTACTGGATCTTGAGGAATAAATGCGATTCGTGATCGGAGGGTCCGGAGTGCCACGGTGGTTATGTCAATGCCGTCAACAACTATTGAACCATGCTGGGGTTCTATCAGACGCAACAGGGCCAGTGTTAGTGACGATTTCCCGGCTCCAGTCCGACCTACGATGCCAACTCTTTCACGACCCTTCACACTGAACGACACGTCTTCCAGAACAAGTGGGAGCCCGGGTGCGTAGGAAGCGCCAAGTGACTTGACCTCAATATTCCCGAGCGATGGCCAGTTGTTAGGGGCTTCGCGGCCACTTTGCTTTTCTGGCTCCAGCTCGGAGTAAGCTATAATGTTTCCGGCTGAGTTCATGTAGGTCTCAAGCATCCCAAAATTATTGATGGCCTTGAACATAGCCTGCGATAACTGCATAGAATAGCTGAGGCAGTAGCCGATCAAAAATGCATCGGCTGTAGAAGTTGACAATAGGATAATACCCGTTCCGACGCTGAAGATAACGCCGATGAGAGACATTTGGAGACTAAGCCAGCGGTTGAATATGAAGAAGTGTCTTCTAGCCGTAGACAACCTATCAATGTGCCCATGCATATGTGCAGCTAGCCGATCTGATGCACCAAAGGCCCGGATTGTCATGACCCCTGCTGCAGAGGATGTGAAATGTTCAAGTATAGCAGCAGTTGGTTGCGAGTCGGCTCGTTTGACGGTCGTCCGTGCTTTTATATAGAGCTTGCTAACTTTTGTACACCAGTAGAGGAGAGTCAATGTCAGCAGACTCATATACTTAGACGTATTGAACCTGAATAAATTAGCAAACAATCTCGGTTTCCTGTAAAGATGCATCTTACCCCACACACACAATCAACATCATCTGGACAAAGTTGTCCGCAAATTCAGACATGGTGACCAAAACATAATCATCGACATTTTTGGCATCAACAGTGAGCCGTCTGAGTATCTCTCCAATGGGTGTGCTATCGAGCCAGTGCAGGGGCATTCGGAGGACTCTAAACGTAGCCGCGCGGAACAGTGATTGAGAGGCACGTAAGGACCCGGAATAGGCATGCAGGTTGAATAGAAATTCCAAAAGTACGGTCGTCGTAGAAGTCAGCAGATAAAGGTAGAGATACTGCGCCCACCCGCCCTTCGAACCTGGAGCAACTGGTGGGACATCTGTCTCTACGCTGATGGACTCAGGACGTGCCGAATTAATGCGTCCCAAAGTCCTCGTCGTCAACGAGGCCAAAAGCTGTTTGGTGACGAGGCCCAGAAGATATATGATAGTGAACCACAATCCACCTGCTACGCTGAAGTATATATCATATACCTTTGCGTCTGTACGCGCGTCAAGACCTTTGCTTTTTGCCAGCGTGGTTGCATGTTCTTTCGATTTCTCCTGTCTGGGAAGGTCAGCTGTCATGGAGTTTTCAGTTTCGACTTCAATCTGCTTCTCCACAACGAATTCAGCTCCTTCTGCGTATCTTGCAGTATTGTTTTCTATATGGACAATACAGTTTGCTTCTGGCAGGCACAGAGATACCTGGTGAGTTACGAGGATCCGCGTGCGGCCTCTGCAAAGGGCACCGGTGAGTGCCTTGCAGATATCCCTGGAGACATGTGCATCAAGAGAAGCAAATATGTCATCGAGTATCAATGTCTGTGCACTTGAGTATAGTGCTCTGGCAAGCGCAAGTCTCGCGCGTTGGCCTCCACTGAGCTTGACACCCCGGAGGCCAATCTGGGTCTCGTCGCCCTTCGGCAAGGCAGCAAGGTCAGGATATAGTGCACAGGCTTTCAATACCTCCTCATACTTCTTGTCGTCCATTGGATTCCCAAACAGAATATTTTCTTTTATTGTGGTGTTCTGAAGCCACGGAGTTTGCGATACGAATGCAACTGATTGCCCTTCAGCCATCGATGGGGCTTTAATCGTACCGTCGAGGAGGTCAACCTCTCCAATGATTGCAGCAAGTAACAGACTTTTTCCTGATCCTGTCTTTCCATATATTATGCTGAGCTCACCAGCGCGAAAATCCACATTGATGTGGCTCAGAGAAAAGCGATGTTGTTGCAACACATCGGAAGGCCACGAAATGGTCGCATTATGAAATGAAATATGGCCGGATGGGCTAGGAGTAAGCACTGTCTTGTGTTCCGGTCTTCTCAAATAATTTTCTATGCGGCTCCCATTGGACCTGGCTTCGAAATAATCATTGAATACAACAGGAAGAAACCCCAGTGTTGATTGAAGATGGGGCAAAAGCTCAATCATGGGGAAAAGAATGGAGGGGGAAATTGAGCTTGTGGTGTATGCGTAGATAAAGATTGAAGCCGCAGCGACAATAAATGGGGACGCAACGCTCCATACAGATCTTACGTTCTTTGCAACAAAGACCCTGCGTAGCTGTTTAAGCTCATCCTGTCGGAAGGTCTCCAAACGGTCCTCCCACTGCGCTTCTGAAGCAGAGAACTTGATCTGTCGAAGCGCATACATGAGTTCGTTGACTGCTTTGGTCTTCTTATCTCTTGCTGCAGCAAGATGCTTTTGTGCCATGCGCTCCTGCTTGATGACGAATGTATGAACCGGTACGCTTATCGCAGTAACAACCAAGGCAGCAATGGTACCCTGCCATCCAACTAATTGTACCAGAAATAGCGCAGCAAAAAGAAATTTGGATAATGTGGCTGGGATATAGTGGTTGACAGCTGTGAATTTACTGAGAGAAACACTGTCGGACGAAATGAGATTAATGGCTTCAGGCTTCTCGACTTTAGGACTTTGGGGGTCTTTAGAATCTTTCATCTTTAGCACTTTGGCAAAGATTGCCATGATCAGTTGTGCCCTGACAGGAATTGCCATTTCAGACCACTGTATCCACAGCAGATGGTGGTGAAGCAGGGTTTGGCATAAGCACGATATAGCAACTCCTATCAGCCAAAACCAAGCATCGTGCCTTGATTCAGGCTGTTCTTCCAGACTCCTAAGAAGCCGCATGACACAATAAGGAGACACAAATGTAACGAGAGATCTTATAATCATTATGATCCATTGTTTGGCGAAGCCGGCAAAGCGGTCATATAATATGCGGCACCACAACGAAGTCTTCGAGGTTGCTATCTGAAGAAGTGGCTGGCTTTGCGACCGAGTATAATAGTCTAGAGCAGGGAGTTTGTCAAGCTTCACATGATTACCAGCTAGATGCAGGGCACTTGTGCACCAATGCATGGTATACCTATGAAATGCCGAGGAACTATTTTCGAGGTCCACAGCTCTGCCATCTGCCGTAAAGAGATGTGGTCGACGAGGCAAAAGCAACTGGACTATTGTCAGGCCAATCGCAGCGTAGACCTGCAAAGACAGAGGTGATGGTGAAAACAAGAGACTGCTACCTGCTGGAGGATCCGAAAGACAGAGCGAAGAGAGTGTGAGCGCCGCTAGTAGGGATCCTCGTAGCCCAATAGTGTAAATCATTTGGGGATTCTCTGTGCAGTGAAGATGAAGACTATGCAATGTAATGAGAATCTACTCAAGCGTTAGTCTCCCTGGCAGCTCTGCCAATACTTATCGCGAAGAAACTTGCCCACAGAAGCTTGCTCCAATGGAGTAGACTCAATTCAACTGAGGGTAGAAAGGACTGGAGGAATGTCACTCGATAACTCGCAACGTCTGTGACAGCTGCTGCAAGTCCCAGCCATGAGAGGAACGAAGTCATCGATACCAGTAGCCGAATGCGGGCGTTATAGGCTGCCTCGCTTTCCTTGGAGGCAGCTCCATCTTCGTCACTATACATGACAGTCGTTTTGCAGCACAGCTAGGGCTCATCTAGTTGCACGATTCAAGATGATAAAATCAGTAGAATCAAGGTGAAGGGGTAAAAGCGATGGTCTTCAGGAGGACTGGATGTTGACTGCTTATCAGCCCGAAGCTGTGTGGGATGAGAATCGATGGTGCCATCAGCTTCTTACCCGATTGAGTAAGTGCTTATAGGATGTGCTACTTGTAGCTATCGAGAGCCGCCTTTTACCCCAATCTAATGCATCTGCATAGTAGTAAGTATATTTGTTCATCCGTGGCACGCCTTGCATCAAGTGGTGACCTGGTTGTCCCTCTCCGATTGGACGGATGCCCATTGTCGGCTCCCGCGCCTTTGACGTATCTCGAATTCCTCGTCGGGGCGTCCGACAACCTGGACGTTCCGATCCTCCACTTACGTTTCGTGTCGCCAGGTATGAACTGAACTGAAAGATATAAAGGATGACTGGTTCGATAACACACCTCTAATCCTTCGCAACATCGACCGATCGAAAACACCTGGGATCAAATACTAAGGAAGAATGGTTGATACAGTGGCTAACATGGAGGGCGTCGCTGCACTGATAAGGGCCCTGCCCAGCAGCTACGCCCTCATGGGCCTAGCTGCTATTGTTTTTTACTGTCTATACCAGGTACGAGTTGGGTTTCCTGGATTATTCTTCCCCTTGCTAACTGTTATACACTGACAGTCAACCATGGTGACGGATATTCCGTACATCAAAGGCTTGCCCGAAATCCCAGGAGCCGTTCCAATATTCGGCCATCTTCGGAAATTGGGTGACGACCACGCAAGTGTTTGTGAGCGCTGGTGGCGACAGTACGGTCATTCGGTCTTCCAGATCAAGCTCGGTAATACGCGGGCGGTCGTTTTCAACTCCTTCGAAGACTGTCGCACCGTGTTATTAGGCCATCAAAATGCAATCATCGATCGGCCGAAGCTGTATACATTTCACGGTGTTATCAGCAGTACTCAAGGATTCACCATTGGCTCATCTCCCTGGGACGATTCCTGTAAGAGAAAGCGCAAGGCAGCTGGTACGGCATTGGGCAGGCCAGCTTTGAGGAATTACCATCCCATGTTCGATTTGGAAAGCTATTGCATCGTCCGAGATCTTTTTCGCGACAGTAAAAATGGCCAAGTGGAACTCAATATTCGCCCATACATTCAAAGATACGCCCTCAATACGACCTTGACTCTATGCTACGGTATTCGCATGGACGAAGTCTATGATGACCTTCTCCGGGAAATCCTTCATGTGGGATCAGCGATATCCTTGCTGCGAAGTGCGTCGGAGAATCTGCAGGACTATATTCCCATTTTACGTTATGCGCCGAATAATGAAAAGACCGCTCGATCCAAGGAGCTTAGGGAGCGTCGAGACGCTTACCTCAATCTCCTCTTGAACAAAGTTCGCGATATGATCAAGAAGGGAACAGATAAGCCATGTATTTCTGCTGCCATTCTCAAAGATGAAGAGACTAAGCTTAGTGGCGTGGAGGTCTCCTCTATCTGTCTTTCGCTGGTGTCTGGTGGATTTGAAACAATCCCTGGGACACTAACTTCAGTCATCGGTTCATTGTCCACCCCAGAAGGTCAAGTCTGGCAAGACAGAGCATATGAGGATATAAAAAGATACTACCCAGATACAGAAGACGCCTGGCTAGCATCTATCCATGAGGAGAAGGTCCCTTATGTGAACGCCATCGTCAAAGAGGCGGGGCGGTACTATACAGTCAGCTCCATGAGTTTACCCCGGAAAACTGCGACAGAAGTGAACTGGAACGGAGCCATCATTCCTGCAAAAACAATGGTCTTGATAAATGCGCAAGCGGGTAACCACGGTAAGCATTTCCAGATATCCACGATCAGAACAGCCTGCTGACTCAACCGTAGACGTTGACCACTTTGGACCTGATGCAGGCAAATTCGATCCTGAGCGATGGCTGAAATTCGTCGACCCTCCCTGTGAGAAGGAGATTCAAGGACTACCGCATCTGAGCTTTGGAGCCGGATCTCGTGCTTGTTCGGGGCAAGTCATCGCAATCAGGCTGCTATACACGGCACTGGTGCGCATTCTCTCGTCGTATAAGATTGTGGCCAGTGCAGATCAACCTCCGAACACTGACTACGTCGAGTACAACCAATTCAAGACAGCTCTAGTGGCTATTCCGAGGGATTTCAAGGTCAGATTAATTCCGCGGGATGATGTATTGACTCGACAGTGCTTGGAGGCGGCTGAATTGAGGACTAAGGAGCACTACAGGGAGTGATACTGTAGGGAATTCGAGACTTTTATAGTAAATATAGCCACATGAAATTTTAATTTATTACACTTTGTTCTTGTTGAATTTTATAGGTAGTGCCGCCTCATAAGATCTGGTTCTGGTACTGAAGCGTCGGTCGATCCGACAAGCAAACACATAAAGCGGGGAGCGTCCCCACCCACTCGACATGGCCTTTCCACATCTTCGTCGCATCTCTCTAAAACACATCACTCACATCCGAAATGGAATCACTATTGACACAAGACATGATGAGCGTCAAGGGCCGCATCGCCCTAGTCACCGGTGGAAGTAGCGGAATAGGGCGAATGATTTCTCAGGTAACTATGTCCCTGGATCCAAGGTAGCAAATGCTCATAGTAGCCGCCATACCAGGGCCTTGTTACCAACGGCGTCAAAGTCTACATAGTCGCACTTCCAGGTGACCCCATCGACCAAACAGTACAGGACTTGAACGCATATGGAACCGAATCAGGTGGGAGCGCAGAAGGGTACGTGTTGACGAATACCTTCCCAAACCCCCTTGTCAATAGTCCAGTTCAATAATTAACCCGCAATAAAGCTACGCCTGCGACCTCTCCTCAAAGGAGTCTATCTCTCAACTTGCCAAATCAATTTCCGAGAAAGAAACCAAACTCGACATGCTCATATCCAATGCCGGGATTCGACGGGATCCGCCCATCGCATGCAATGTTCTCACTGCGACCCTAGCCGAGCTGCAGGAGTCAATGTGGTCAAGCAGAGAATCAGACTGGGCTGATACTTTTCAAATCAATACGACAGCGCATTACTTCCTTAGTGTTGCGTTTCTTCCTCTCCTGGCTGCCGCGGCCGATCAGCAACTAGATGATGGTCGTCGTGGTGAGGATGACGGGAGAGGCGTGGTAGTCATCACCAGCTCTTGTGCGAGTATGCATAATGCGACGAATGTGGACTTGACGAGCTATGCGACAAGCAAAGCGGCGACAGATCACTTGGTGAAGCTGTTGGCTGCGAAGTTTCATCGGTTTTATGTGCGGGTAGTGGGGATAAATCCTGGATGTAGGTGTTGCTGTCTTCTTCCCATTCCTGCCTCTCTCGTGCGACTATTAAGTTTGAGTTTGAGCTTACATTGAAGTAGTTGTTCCCTCTAACATGAACCCCGTTGGTGCAGCGGGGAATATGTTTAGCGGTTTATTTGACAAGGTCCCTGCCAAACGAGCTGGGAGGGCTGAAGATCTGGCAGGGGCGGTGTTGTATCTGGTCAGCAGGGCTGGAGTAAGTCGTTATATACATTCTTTATTTCAAATGCTAATTAAGCTGTTGCAGTCGTATGTGGATGGTGTCTCTCTTTGCATTGATGGCGGCCGGATACTACTAGCTAATGGGCAAGAATAAGAAGCGGAATTCAGGCATTTTGTTCAAAAGGGACAAACAAAATGAATCATGGGCAAGTAAAAACAGGGAATAAAAATAGTATGCAATAATATACAATAGAAGAGACTCGCTGGTGGTCACGCCAACCGCCCAACCGTCTACGGTGGGCTGGAACGTGGCAAAGGCATAGCTTATGTGGGTCAGTCCGCTAACAGCGAGGTTACTGGGACTCCACGAGTCACAGGTTCAGTTGTTTGCCCACCCTTCGTAGTACCCGATTACGCGCTGCGAAACATCGTTGGAGGAGCAGGAGGGGACCGTGGGAGGTCCTGGCATCCCGTGCCACAGAAGTCATCAGTAGTGTCGCAAAAGCTCCATTCCGAGCAACACACGTTAAGGGGGTAGGTGGCATTCGGTGTGGATGTGTCCTTCCCACAGGGGGGCAGTGGCATTGCTGTTACTGACACACGTGTCACCGCAAAAGTCACTGCCATATCCACAGATCTGTCAAGGTCAGTGAGCACCTCTCTTGCATGTATGAAGTGGGATATTGGCACGTACACCTCGTCAATCGCTTTTGCCGCAGCAGGCGTCGTTGTAGCAAGGGCAAGTTGCATCACAATAGTATGTTGTCTGGGCGTGTACCAAAAGTGAAGAGCTGGAGAAGAGAAGCCATTGAATTACTCGCGGACTAAATACGCCCGATGGAAGTCGCCAACTCATGGCAGGAATGAGCAAGAACGAGACTTGAGGTGAGAGCATGAAAACCAGTGCTGAGGGATGAATGGGTCGGCAAAAATGAAGGTGAGTAGGCAGAAATACCTCAGGAATGTACTGATCTCAACCTTGCCATGAGGAAGCAAAGTCCCTACCTACTGTGCTTTATATGCTGGCAGGAAACCTCTGGGCTATTGAGGGCTTTTCTCACACCTAACTAGGGCTATGAACTAGACGGGTTAGCACCTCGCTTGTCTCTGTCACAGGACCTTGCCCTGTACAGGCTATACTGGTATCACCAGGCACAGTAGTCATGAATCTGAGTTAGCGAGACCTAGATCAGGAACCCTAGTCAGGGGACCGAACTCCCATCGGGGGACGTAAGGATGGCGAAGTGGAGTCAAGTGGATCTCATCGGATGAAATACACCACGCTGCCAAGACACTGTAACTGATAGTTCATCTTGCCTTTCCCAAGAGAGACAGAGATATGACCCCAAATCGGTTAGAACTCCGTCAAACGAGAGATGCTTAGTATCGCCGAGAGCTCGTATTTGTGGAGTCGGAAGTATATGATACCATCCTCGTACCCTTCGACTTCCGAATACCAGTGGACTGGTGCTATATTTTTTCTATAATTTTCTCCTCTTCTTCTTCTTCTTCTTCTTCTTCTTCTTCTTCTTCTTCTTCTTCTTCTTCGTCTTCTTCTTCATAATTAGAGCTCAAAGTCGAAATGTCACCGCCCACATCAGAAGCGTCTTGGCCGGCAGGCATTCCGGAGATCCGCCAGCATCCAACGGACTTATACCAGGAAGAGCTCAGGGAAGAGGCCAAGGGATGGTTGCTATTTGTACGGGTAAGGAAGAGTCTGTGGAAATGCACACTTCGGTTGTTTGATGATGTTTCGTGGTTGACGGTGCAGATAATAGGAAAAGTTTCAGCCCGCATCGACTCCTGAAGATGGGCTACGTCAACGGCGAGCGCTAATAGAGCAATGGGCCACCGCCAGTCAAGAGTTCCGCGAGGTCCATACTCTCTTCCCCTTATCTCTCGTGGCTGTATGATTGACTATAATCTTTACAGACCTACCATAGTCGTTCCGCAGGATACAGCTCGGCTTTCGACTACCCCGCCTCGATTCTTTCGCAGATCGCCCCACGACCCAACAAACGCTTCTTGTGCCTGCCACCCGTGGACCGGCAGACCCATTCGCGTAACTATATCCACCTCGTGAAGTTCCTGATTTTGTTGTATATCCACCAAGACGAATGGAATGGGGTACACCCCTTCGAAGAGCATGGAGCAGGCACCGCTCCTAACTACCACCTTCCGGACCTCCTTGGCTGCGGGCCCACCACCTTCGACGAGATTCTCCCCTCGCTGTATCTCACCCCAGCGGATTTCCACGCCCTCTCCATGACCCGCCAGGGCACGGTGGTGTTTGCCAACGGGCCGAACCTCACGTGGTTCGTGATCGATGCGCCGGGACTTGCCACAGGGCGACTGGCCTTGGTGGACTTTAACTCAAATGGCCACGTCCGCGTCTTGACCCTTCGTCGACCCTGGAATATGGGCCAAACAATGGCCTTCGAGCAAATTCTGGGTAGATATCTTGGCGAGATTGTTGAGTCATGCATTGGAGGCCCGCCGCAGTATAACGAAGTGTACGTCCATTTTCTCTCTCTCTCTCTCTCTCTCTCTCTCTCTCTCTTCTTTTTCATTCCCTTTTATTTTGTTTTTGTGGCTCAGATATCTATTCCTCTAATGTCATTCCTTCTGCAAATAACAGCTTGGATATGGATCTTCCTATTCTTGACATCTTGGAGTCAACCCGGTTGAATAACAAGTTCCTCTTCTCGGGCTACGGATCTCGGGACCTCTGGATCCGCCTTATCAACGAGAGTGCGCCGGGATATCTGGATCTGGAGGCCGAAGGACGGGAGGTGGAATTCGAGCTAGATAAATTGCTGGTTGTTGATCTTTGATGCTTTTTGCAAGCTCGCTCGTGTTTGATAGGTTTTCGGTCTACGAGAATACAGGGTCACGGTTTGTTAATATATCGCCTAGTGTCCATCGACTGAAAAAGTCATCCAGGTTGTTTTCTCCTTTCACATGCTTTAGGTGGGGCAGTTATGCATGAATTATTGAGTGCATCTCATACTCTGATATGTCCTCGTTTGACTTCATTGCCCGTAGCGATGAGCCGCTCTTTAACTGCCTTAAGAGTGGTTGTGATTCGGCACGCGAGTCTGTGTAAGTCAAAACATTGTCAATATACCAGAATGCGTAATATAAGAATGTTGAGAGGGTGTGATCTGTGTAACACTAGAACACAGTTAGAGCGGTCTTTATTCTGAACAGCATGCATTTGAATTGCTAACATGTTCCAGCGCATTTATACGCTGTGACATATCTCCATTCTGTAGACACCCTGATCCTAAAGAAGGCATTTCTCAAATCTAGTCACATAATAAACCACCTTGCTCCAGCAAGGCAGTAATACATCAGCCTTATCAGTGCAATACCTGTCATGTGCACGGTACTCTAGTCATAATTAGTAAGACCGAGCATGCATTACACTAAAATTCCCTCTAAATCTATGGTAGCACTTGGACAAACTTGATAAATTGTAGAATAACTATGATCTGTTTCCTAGCAGATCTGCCATATGGTTTCAACTGTGAGGATCCAGACAGTCTTATATTTATCAAGTGAAAGTAGGTTTGTAAGTAATATATATCTATATTACCAGGCTTATAAGTCTAGTCTTCTATCAGATAGGTAGACGTGATATGAAACTTGGCTTCAAGAACGCTCTGCCGGATGAATAGCTAGTCTCCCTTATTCCATTTAGTGTGACATTATCAAACTTTTGAGAGTAGAATTGTATGTAACGCGGTCCCTTCATTGTTTGGAGCATTATGATGAACGAACTTTCCAACCTCTCATACTCGCTGTGGACCACCAGGAGATTGAGAAGATCATAGTAGTCTTGGCAGTTACAATATCCTAACAGTAGCCTGCCCAAAGTAGTGGCAAACAGCCCGCTCTTGAGCGTAACAGCTACACTCTTCGGCCTACAGAGTTATTATCAACGACACACTTGCAATCCAGCGGTCAATCACATCACAAAAAAAGCAAGGCAAAAAATTTTAAAAATGAAAAACATACAACAGAAGGGATTCGCTGGTGGTCACCCACCCAACTACTAACCTCCCGGCGTGTGGCTTAAGTACGGCTGAGCGGACGGGAAGCCCTGTTTTCCACACCCTGTGGTCGTATGTACCAGTTATTATGGTGGGAAGGATGATATAGCACATTCCTTTATGAGGACTGCGTGTAAATTTGGCTACGAGGGAACGCGGCAGTCTTATGCGTGGGTTCTGAAAACCACGTCCACACTTGGTAGTTGATACTGAAGAGGCATGTGTAATAGTAGAAAACTAGATGGTTAGATGATAGACCAGATGCCTACGGTTATTATAGCTAACCATGTCAGGTAAGACGTATCTGGATATATTAAGAGTATTGTAAATAATTTAGGGGGGTTATAGAGCATGATGTTTACTATTCATATCTCTCCCTACTCCGGATCTTTTAATGTGGTTGATAGACAATTTCTTAGTTGATCCTAAGATTTCCTGTATACTCTATCTATTTGACTACATGGTCGGTAGCGCAAGTGGTGTTGTCATGATTTCATCGATAACTCACATTCGAGGATGAACCGTACTAGTAAGTATATATTCTAGTCATCAGAAGTCCACATACCCACCCAGCAACACATCAAAGGCACAACCGGACTTTAATAGAAATAATCCAACCCGATCTAATGCGATTACTGACAGTATCTTGTAGGCCATACCTGAAACCAAGTTATCAAGAGCATGGCATAGTCATGAAATGAAAAGCCTCCGACCTATCCTGAAGGATCGATCCTCTCATATCCAAGTCCTCATGTTAACGGCACACACAAAAATTTTTTTTCCACCCTCTGATTTACCCCTCGCTTGTAATGCAAAATATCCAAGGTTCACTCAACAAGCATGGCCGGATGGTGTAGTTGGTTATCACGTATCGTTAACACCGATAAGGTCCTGGGATCGAGCCCCAGTCTGGTCATTACTTTTTGTTTTTGTTTTTGCCATCCATACCTTGACTAGAATCGAGCTTCAGCCATATACTAATACTGCTGTCTTTTTTTCCCCCTTGTCCGTACAAGTCTCAAATGCTGCCAAGTTGCTGCATGTTAGGCTTGGCATGCATATAACCACCTGGGATTATCCCCACAATTGGTCAGTCAATCGCGCGGACTTGCATAGCGAACTACGCACTCAGCAATAAAATCTGTACGTATAAAGATCAAGTACACAGCTCTTCCAGTAACCTTTTTTTTAATGACATATATAACGAGAACTAGAACAATGTTGAACGGTACTGAGCTGTATATCCATCACTGTTGGGATTTCGTCGAAATGTAGCCGGAGTGGGGTAACCTATAGACGAACATGGCATTGAGACAAAAGGGTGCTGTCGAAGATCCCACCAGGTTCACGGATATGTAGAAACAGTAATTCGACGAAAGGGATCATATGCAATGCTCTCAGGAGCATGCAAAATGTTGATTGCCATTTGTGCAAAAAGCACGGCTCGGCAAAAAGTATGACCAGACTGGGGCTCGATCCCAGGACCTTATCGGTGTTAACGATACGTGATAACCAACTACACCATCCGGCCAACTTATTGGAGAACGGGTGGATCTTTGGCCATAGAAGCCAAGTGACCCGGGTTTGCATGATTTTGTGCATACGCGCAAAAGAAGCATTGCCACGGGGTAGCTTCGCTCTTGAAAGACGTTATGCTGTCAGGTCTTGGCTCCGCCACACAACAATTAACAGCCGTCTGGGTAGGTACTATGGTTTCAGCGGCAAGGCTTCTACTGTGATCCCATTGGCGGGGTCTAAACCGAAAGGGTTCTCCATGAAGCGTTGTAAATTGTGTTGCGGTAGGGGAGGTACTGAGGTCTTCCGGTGATTTGGGTCACCTTTGGGTTCTCTTCAGTCGCTATGCGAGAGTAGCGTCTTTGGAAAGAGATCTGGTTGGTTGTAATAATTTCTAGAAAGTGTAACTACGATACCCATCGCAGTAGATGTAGTTACCGTTAATCTTTGACTAACTGTTTCAGCCAGACAAGCACAGTGGATCCGTAAGGAATCGCAAATGAACAAGACTGCTGCGTATCACTCTCCAATCTAGCATAGGCTCATAGGTGAAGAAGTAAGCCGGCGATGCAATATCAGTTTCTTGCTTTTGTGATACATTTCGTCACTTACCTCTTTCCCACTTTGGAACCAGATAAGCTTTCGTCTCAGCCAAGCCATGATGGTAGACCAATGCCATCTCTGTATATGATGTAGGGATCGGCATGTCAGCTTATGCAGAAGCCACTGGAATATAGTCATATGTAAATGCTAGTAGACATATCTTCCTCGGAGTTCAATAGCAAAATCATGCTCATTTGTATCAAGCAATGGAGCTTTTAGCAATAGTAGGTCTGCTCTGGGCCTTTAGCAAGGCTTGTATGTATTATATATCCTCGCTTCACACAAACACTTACCAGAATACATGGCAGTAATCACAGCATCATGGGCAGCATTGAAAGCGCCCGTGAGAGGCTCTCGCGGTGGCGCAACAGCCACGAAGCACATAGTCGCTGTGGCCGTGCGGACATTCTTCGAAACTGTCACAATAGACCAGTTCCGGTAGGTTGCAACAATTCCGCACCCAGGCACACTTCTTGATAATGAGCTCCAGGTATGCTTATTCCCCTGATACCTCCGCTCGGCTTCTCGAAGCATGGGCACGTCGCGCACACACGATCTTAAACACCGTCAAGCTGCCTGACGGGACCACCGCGTTCTGGCTAGGAAATCCAGACGCCAAGCGACTGCTCCTCCATCTTCCAGGTGGCGCATACTGCCTCCCTGCCCCTTCCTTCTCACATCGACTATTCCACCTCCATCCTAAGGCATCTGGGACAAGCGGGAATAGATGCCGGCATGCTCTTCCTCCCTTATGAACTCACCCCAACCGCGCAATATCCTCATCAGATGAAGCAGGCTGTGGCGCTCCTCCAATATGTCATCGAGGACCTGGGGAAGCGGCCGTCTGATATTGTGCTGCTGGGTGATTCTGCGGGTGCACATCTTATCTTGTCCGTCCTATCTCATCTTGCGCATCCCCATCCTCACATTCCTCCCCTACTCTTGCGTGAGAAACTTGCTGGGGCATTGTTGCTTTCACCGTGGATGGGCGAGTCTCGGACCGACTATGACAGTTGTCGGAGAAACGCGTCGCGGGATCTTGTCTCACCAGGGCTATTGACTTATTGGGCCGATATGTTTCTTGGAGATGCTGAGTTCGACAGCTATAGCCGGCCTGCGGGTGCGCCTGAAGGCTGGTGGCGGGATCTGCCTGTGGAGGATATTTTCATTGGGGTGGGAGGGTATGAGGTGTTGTATGATTCGATTATAAAGACTGCTAGGAAGATTAAGGTCAGTGGCTCTAAAATTTTGAGGTGTGACATCTACTAATATGTCTTTCTTCGTTTAGGCAGAACATACTGGAGTCACCATTAGTATTGCCCATCTTGAAGTCCATTGCGAGGCCCTTTCACCTTTCAATCCGGGAGTGGTTTCGCCGGATCAGTATAGAGCGTTGCTGGCATGGTTGAAGGGTACTTTGTGCAAGTGAGGGAATAGCATACCCGATAGACGACGGGTGAGGGCCGAGATCTTCATTATGGCTAGATTCAAGAATGCTCTAATCCATGGAAGAAAGTGAGCGGTTAGATGTCCAGAGAAAGATGAGATCTGCTATACCGTTGATACAATGAAGACAGTCTACTAACACACAGTTGAACTAAAACACGCGCGACTTCGACCACAAACAATCCACCCCTTCCTTTCTCATTGCATGATTAGATAGATAGAGAGACTAACAGCAAAAACAAAAAGAAGAGATGGAGTTGAAGGGGATCGAACCCTTGACCTCTCGCATTTCCCATTTGAGGATGCGAAGCGAGCGCTCTACCACTGAGCTACAACCCCCGGTAGACACATACATCCCTTCATTATAGGGTTGGTGTGGCAAATTATATGCTATACAGCTTGACCCATATCATATCAAACCTGTTATCAACAACATTATGCATTGATCATACATGTCCACCCACCTAATAATGCGCGGATATCTTCGAATATTTTAATTCATAGCCATCCTCTTTCCTATCGGGATTTTGAATGAATTGTGTTATTTGATTATCACAGCTGCTACCTACGTACTTCGGTTGTGCAATAATGGATGGCATGTCCGGATCGGCCCGTTTCCCCGCAAAGCTTATCCAGCTGGAGTTATACAACTTGATCGGAGAATTATCAACTACACCTATATTCAAATTCATGTAACTGGAGAAGAGAGCTCACTGCTTATCTGCACTTATATAAATACAGGATCAACTCCACTAACATCAACAAATTAAAATACTAACTATTCAATATCAAGACTAAACAAAACAAATCACCTCCGCATCTCAACACTCAAACACTACTACATCAGAACACAAGCACCATATGTCCACGACTCAGACAAATATACCAACTACAGCTCCCCCACAACCTCCCTATACGACCCCCTCTCCCCCTTTATATCCTCCAGTACCCCCTCCCCCCTACACACCCACCCCAACTCCCTCCTCGCCCTACCCCCGGAAGCCCTATTCTCAGCAGCCAAAAACCCAGCAACCACATCCCCCAGTTTCTCCTTCGCCTCCTCCACCCCCAGATCCTCCACCGGAACATGCATGATCTCCGCCACCGTCCCCAAAATCTCCCCAACCGTAACCCCCGTCTTATCACCAGCATTATATACACCCCCCTGCACGCCCTTCTCAACAGCAAGCAAATACAACTCCGCCGCATCATCCACATGCACCGTCGTCGTACGATTCACCCCACCACCCACAGTAACGATCTTCCCCGCATGCTTCGCCATCTGCATGAACAGTCTTATCCCGCTACCGCCGCGCCCGTACACGAACGGCGCGAGACGGATGTCCATCACTCTTACCCTTCCATTGGACTTTTCGCCAAGGGCTAGTCCATGCGCTGTGATCTCGTTCCGCGAGACGAGAGGGTGCGTGTCGAGGGGTGAGAACTCGTCGGTTTCGGATCCGTCGGCGTTAGGGCGCACGAGGAGCGTGCCGCTGGTTGTGACGAGGGGTTTCGGGGTGTCGTCTGGGTTGGGGGTGGAGGAGAGGCCGGAGACGATGGCGTCGAGGGCGGCGGTGTCGATGTCTTTGATGGAGGCGTAGCTTGGAGTCTGTCCGAAGACGAAGGCCGTCGCGAGGTGGATTACGGCGGTGGCGGAGGCGCTTTCGGTTCGGAGGGTCGATAGGCTGGTTAGGTCACCTCGGACGGGGGTGACGCCGAGGGAGAGGAGTTTGGTGTCCGATTGAGGGGTGCGCGAAAGGGCGCGGATGGTGTAGTTGCGGGAGAGGGCGAGGGGGATTAGGGCGCTGCCGATGTAGCCGCTGCCGCCGGTGAGGAAGAGGGTTTTGGTGGTGGTGGTCATTTTGGGGTTTGGTTTGGGGGTTGAAGGTTGTTGATGGTGTGGCTGTTGTTTGTGAAATGTGTGAGGGTGAGGGATTGATTGTTGGAAGGATGAAGACGTCGTTTTATACTGGTTCTAATCGCAAGTGGTTGTTTGGGGGTATAGTATCTACTATGCATGCTTAGGGCTCGGTGGTAATTTGGTTATGTCCGTGCAGATGAGATGCCGTCGGGGTTCGGGTCTTCGCGGTTTGGACTCTCCGTCGGGGTTGAGACGTGTCGGTTGATTGGTCAAATGGGGTATAGCGAGTATAATATTATTAATGAAGCTGATCCTTTTAATCCTTCTGTTTCTGAAGAAGTGGAGTAAAGGGACAAGTAGGAATGTGAGTCTGTGCTATTGCTATTGCTGAGAGTTCATTTTCGGCTAGTCATACGTTGTCTGACTTTGTCATGTACCGTGCCCAGTCTATGGACGCATCTTCTCCGGTCATTGAAGCGATCTTGAACTAGGTACCGTCTCACGCCACTGCTCTCTGTCGCGGACTTAAGAGAACATTAAGTCCTTTGATAAAGATTAAGCCTCTGCAGCAGGTTAGTAGACCATACCACGACGGTTGACCATGTAGCTTACCCGCTCTCATCCGTTACTTTAGCACCCGGTGCCAATTGAATGTTGTAGCGCATAAGAAGGGTGGGAACGAGCTAAGTCGAGATTAGTATACCAGCGTCAGTAAAGATCTATGAGAGCAGGCTATACCTTTGACATCTCTAGCCAACTTATGTCTGAGAAGGCGTCAGCATTGTCACAACCAGTCAACATTTGTCCAAAGGACTTACTCCTTCCAACGCAAGTGCGGGAACCACCGCCAAATGAGAAATAGAATCGTTCTGAAACAGTATGAGCAGTTGCCTCTATACTGGTCGGGTTACTTACTGAGATTTCCCACATCCCCTTCCAGCCACCTTTCCGGACGGAATTCCTCGAAGTCAGGACCCCATATCTCGGGGAGCCGGTGAATGACCCACGCAGATGACCCGACCACCGTCTGGACTTATGTTACAACAGGCGCTCAAAGTTGAGAAGCAGGAGATAACTTACGCCCTCTGGAACATAGTACTTCCCAATCTTCATACCCCCCTCCGGGACATCACGGTTCAGTTGAAGTCCAGCAGCAGGATACAGTCGGAGCGCCTCATAAATCACAGCCTGCAGATAAGGACAGGATTCTGCTTGCTGGAATGTCACCAGATCACTCAGCTCTCCGGCGGCTCTCTTCTCTTCCAACTCTTGCATCAGCCTCTGGTAGACGGTCGGATTTTTCAGCAGGAGATAAAATATCGCATTGAGCGACGTCGCCGTCGTATCTGAACCGGCAAACACATTCGCAGTCAACATATATGCCATGTCCGTGTCACTGAAGTGAGGCTTGGTCTTCTGAATTGCGAACAGCTGGTTTACGATATCTCGGTCATCACCACCCCGGTCTTTCCGCGAGACGATCTCTTGAGCTGCAAATTGGTAAAAGTAGCCATTTCGATCATTGACTGCCAACCAATTCCCAATATAGGGCTTGAGCACTTGATGAAGATCGTAGAACCAGGGTACGTTCATGAGCCAGGACATTGACCGCAACGATTGCTTGAGCCGAGAAAACACGCCATCGTCGTCCCCGGCAGTGACATAGCCAAACGGGCGTGAGAAACTGACTGCACCGATTACATCTTTATAATCATACATCAGTGAAGCCCACAGTTAGATGCACAACGTACGTACCAAATGCGAACAATTGCAGAAATACTCCAAGGTCAACAACCCCGGACAGGGTGTCCAGCTTTTGCACCATGCTCGTGAGGAGAGAGCTGACATTGGGCTCGAGATGAACCATCGAATCCATTGAATAAGCACGTGCAACGAGCTTTCTCTGTTCGCCATGTATCTTTTCGTTCCGCTGGCGGAAGAGGTCAAAGGCGTGAATCTCTTTTGGAACGCTATATGACGCGGATTTGGCGAACTTTCCTCCCGCCTCTACTGACAATTAGTGGAGCCTTGAAATATTGGAACAGGTTCAAGAAACTTACTATATATTTCCCTGAACGCTGTCGGGTCCGCTACGCTCCTGGATATACGCTCAGTTACGAGTTCAGCGCCACGCAAGGGCAAACTAACAACACGTTTGGTCCTGTGCGTACCACTGCACCATACTTCCGATGAAGCGCAAGGTACTTGCGATGGGCTTGTCCCTCGTAGGTGAGGTATGCCCGATGCCAGTTGGTAAGCTTGGCCCAAAAGGGTCCCGGAATTCGGGCTAAAGGAGACAAAAAGCACTGGTAAATAACATAGCAGCCAGTGCCGAGAAGCAAAAGTATGCCAGCGGCGAAAGAATTGAAAAGTAGGGATAATAGCTGCATTATGGGCGATCGAGCTGTCAGTTTGGAAAGGCACACAATCAAGCTTTGAGCGGGGAGCGGATGATGAAGGGTATTTATGGGTGATGAGCGGCAGCTTAATGGTTAGACATATGAACTAATGCAGAAGCACAGATGCATTGTCCGCGCTGCCCTCCTAGATCCAGAGTGTTAGAATTGCTATGCAGCTAAGGTCCAACACATGTAACAGTGGGTTGAATACCTTGTCGTCGCTCTAGTGAGGGGAAATATCGGTGGCAGCGGGATATTCGGTACTATGCACAAAACTGCCAGCATAGGAGTAGCACAAGACTCAAGCTAGTTGGGGGCCGCGCCAACTCCCTGCTTTATGTTCTGCAACCGACATCTCCGCACCAAGCTAGGCCTCTTGCCCCACAGCAACGGTGATCTGCCGAAGACAATGGTGCGTTATTGTGCCGTGCCACCCGCAACGTCCAATCATTTATCCGCCATATCGCATATCCAAGACCTCAGTGTTGCTGTCAATGTCTCACCGCCATCCCCGCCTTGAATGAAGTGGGACTGTGTCCATGTGGAAGTTCAGGAAGCAGACCGCACTCGAGACGATACTCGTACGTTGTCGGTAGACGTATTTGCTTTCGTTCACCAGTACTAGCCGGGTTATGAGGTGAAACCAAACTTGGCTCAGGTTTTGAATCTGATCTGACACCCTTTGTTTCTTTATATCAATAAACAGGAAGAGTAGGGGCATGA